TTTTTTTTTTTTTTTTTTTTTTTTTTTTTTTTTTTTTTTTTTTTTTTCTCTCCTGTATATCTTCTGCCCACACTCCAGCTCAGTAGGTGGCGGTAATGCACCTTACAGTTGGTCTGCCAACCGCCATAAAACAATACTAGAAGAAGAAGAAGAAGAAGAAATCTAAATACAAGAACCACAAGATCACACAGGCCTTGACAATGTAAAATCGAGTCTACCTGGAAAAGGACAACCGGTCTAAAACCGATGTCCTCAACATGAGGATACAGGATCTCAGGAAGTTGTAGGTAAAAAATTTTTTTTTTATAAATATAAATTTTATGGGAGGACCTGCTTCAATAAGTTGGGCTTTTCTAAAAAAGTAAAATAAGTTGTAAATAAAATAAAACTAAAGTAGACTTGTGTATATAATTCATTCAACCTTTATTTAAACAGGTTAGTCCCACTGAGCCACGAGAACCCTTTTACAAGAGACACCTGTGTGTATCAGACGGTGATTCTCTTAACTACCGAAGTGCTGTGCTTGTTAAATACGTGACAACATGACAAATCTGATGAAATGCAGTTCTTTTGGTTTTGGTGTATATTTTGTTTCTTGATATTCTCACAAAGGTCAGTTTCTTCTTTAGGAGCTCCTGTCCAAACTATGTAAGGTAAAAAAATATAAAAAAGTTGCATGTGATATGTCCACTTGGTCTTTAAGTCATGTCCAGGATGCCTCGTTCCTTGATTTTTCTCAAGGGCTCCTCCTTCCAGCTTGTCTGCATCAACTTGGGTTTCAATCATCTAATGGAGTGGACTCACAGGCTGCCCAAATCTTCATTCCATACTTTGCAGGTTTTGATGGCAGAGGCCTCGAAAATGGCATCAGATCCTTATCAGTGGTGACATTAGACAGCAGGGGGAGGCGATGTACCCACTTGTCCTGATGCAGCAAGCTTGTCTCTGCCGTCCAGATCTTGTGTCATCCTTGGTATCAGTGTATAATCCTGGAAATCATGTGGATGTTTTCATACAATATTTCTGAAAACATCCATATGAGTTCCAGGATTATACACTGATACCAAGGATGGAAATCATGTGAATCAAGTGGATGTTTTCAGAGATATTGCATTAAAAAGTGCTCTTCCAGTTTTTGCATCCCATAGGAAGATGGTGGATACCCATTTGGACGTGAAAACTCCAGCAAGGACAAGAACATCAAAGATGGACCTGTAAATGGATTTAGTCCATCTCCTCCCACTTCTCCTTCAATAGTTCAACCTAGAATAAAGTTCTGGATGGAAGAAAGCTCAAAATATGATGTTCTGCACATGAGAAACTGCCATCCGAGTTGGCTCTGGTTGAATCTTTATAACACGACATATTTCTTAGTTCATATCTTAGATCTTGCTACTAATTTTCTTTACAATTTGTATTTTTGTTGGAGGTAACTGGGACCCTGTGTACATATTTCATTCCACCTCATGTACCACATGTGATGTGAATGGCAATAAAGAAACCTTGACTTTGATACAAAGGGGTGTAGCCCTAAGTGCTTTATATATTAAAATAAGAAAATCAAATGAAGAATAACTAAAAGAGCAAAAAATAATTAACAACAACTTACAGAACTGTATAAAACCGCAAGATGTTGTGAAACAACTGCGACTTGATCATGAGAGGAGGCTGGTAATAAAAATATAAAATTACAACTACGAGTAAAATCTTCTTACCTGAAAACAGCTGATTCTAATTTCATCATCAAATGCTAGAAACTGACTAATTTTGCTACTATTTGAATTAAATTATTCTTATAAATATACATAATATATTGACTATATGTCAGAGTTTAACGTTTTGATTCAATTTATTTAACCAGCTTCTCTTTCTTTATTTGTAGAGGTTTCATAAAATATCGTTTGTAAAATTAACCAATAAAAATTTTGAGTCTTTTGCAGAAAAATCTCACAGTTTATAAATTTTTAAGATCATTTTTGTTGCGTAAAAGTGTAAACGATAAAACAGTTTTATCCTATTCAACTTTGAAAACACTTAATTCAGACGTTTAGTTACATGACGAAAGAGACACAGTTTCTGGGTCATGACCTTTGACCCCTCATCTTTTAAACCTCAGAAATTTACCTTTTTAATCCCCTCACAGGTGTTACAATAATGTCTTAATCCCAGCTGCGTCTTCACATGACTGGGAGGATTACGAACAATCCGTGCCTTTTAAAATAACGCAGAATAAGTAAACAACAAAAAGAAACGGTTCCAATTTTTTCTTCCATCATCAGCCTGTCTTTAAATCAGTCTGCTGCTGTGTTTGTGATGCATAATGTAGTTATTGCATCCTGTCCTCTAATGAACATGTCCCTGCTGGTTTTGTTTAATTTAATGTGGTTCGTTTGGACCTGTGGCTGCTTCTGACTTTTCAGCTGCTTTCAGCTGTTGAGCTCAGTGGTTAGGGGTGAGGACAACATCTGTGTCTCCACTGATGAGAATCGAACAAATAAATTATGTTTGTCTGAGCTGCAGATTGGTTAATGTCTGCGACAGGAAAGCTGAGATGGTGAAGGAGTGAAGATACTTCATGCTGCTTTGCAAAGAAAAAAATAAATCTACAAACTAAGAGGAGGAGGAAAAAAAGATTCGGGGGAGGGAGAGAGAAAGAGCAGCTGAGCCCTCTGGAGTAAATCTCTCAATCTGATCAGCGAGTAAAGAAGTGGACTACCAATCCCACAGAGCGGACACAACGGCTCTGAGGTAAGGACTTCAGTATTTCTATATAAACCTGCAGCTAAAGTATGAAAATACACTTCATGAACAAATCTATTGTTAAACTGTTAATAATTTTTAATAGAATAATGTTTAATCCTTGTTAGTCTGCCTTCAGGCCCAGGCCTCCCTTGCAAAAGAGATCTGTGATCTCAATGGGATTTGCCTGGTTAAATAAAGGTTAATAATAATAATAATTAATTGGTCTGGATCTCCCAAGAAAAATAGCATTTTTTGCACATTTTAACGGGCACCACTAAACTTACATTATTTATGTTTTGGTTATTGTTTGTCTTGTTTCTGTGACTCTTTATTCAAATACGAATGATTTGACAAAAAACCTGATTTAAATATAATATAATATAAATGCATTTAGAACTGATTGCCTCTATGATGGAAAATAAGAAATAAATAAAATATAATAAAAAAAAATCAATATTGCTTTTAGTGAATTTGAGGCAATTTAATCAAAATGTAGAAAATTCTCTAAAGTAAGTTTAAGGGAGCGGTTAGAGTGTAGTTTGAAGGAACAGAGACAAAAAAAAATCTATTTTGAAATAATCTTAAACAAAAACAATTGTTTACTTCTTTAAGAAAATAATTGTAACTTATAACCACATATTTTGTTTGAAAAGCAAACGATTCATTTTTTGTGTTCACTTAAAAACTGATTTTGCATAATGTTATATGATTAATTGTACTTCTACCTATGGTTAATCAGCAGAAATATTAAAGAAAGAAATGAAAACTGGTCTTTATTGTTGAAAGAACAGCACAATAAAATGTAAAACTTTTATAGAAAACTGACAATACAATTTTTTTAACACAATTTATAGTCTCCAAAGAATTTGTTAGCAAATGGCAACATTAGTTGAATTTTATCACAATGAACTGACTTATAATCACCTCTCCTCCTGCTCTTGTCAGTTCCAAACTCTAGACTAATCGCTCTCCTTAAGTCTCCACCTCGACCATATGCTGTTGGGACGTTGCACGACCCCACTGATCGCTGCAGATTACCACTCAGGAGTACCCACTAATTGTAATTAGGTTAATTGGCAGAGATGTGGGTGATGATAAACCTGTGGCTGAATGATGGAGATTGGGTGTGACACGATTTTGTGCCTTGACCATCTGTCTCTCTTCTAAGCCGAGTAAATCACAACAAGAACAACAAAGACAGAACCGTGTCGTGCAAATGGCTAGCTCTCTTCATCCACTCAGTTTCAAAGACTGGGTCAGTTTTGGCCACATCAAACATCAAATCTGCATCCTGAACAAACTAAAATATCAAAGGACTGACGTACCCGAGGCAAACAGACTACTGGATGTTTTCCACTTTGTTTCATTATTGATAGATCTTAGTGAACCATGTGTGAACTTTCAGTGCAGACACATCACGGAGAGCAACTGGTGTCCAGTGAGGCTTCGATGCCACATCACGTGTGTGCCATTTGAAAATGTCGACCCTGTATAATAGAAAACATGACACACAGAGGTCAGCTTCTTTTCACAGATACACGGAAACACTGGTATTTGGTTATACTGTTAGTACTGAATTACTTTTTGTAATGTTTTAAAATCATCATCAACAATAGTTCTCCAAGTTTTTGTTTTTTAGCCTTATGTAGCATTTCTGTGATCACTGGCTGCTTTTTCACTCATTTTCTGTCAAAAGCCTGAACTTTTTCAGTTTTTTTTTTTAATCTGTTTTGCCACTTGGATCTGTGAATCAGACTGGTGCTTGAAAGTTTGTGAAACCTTCATCATTTTCTGCATAAATACGACCTAAAACATCATTGGATTTTCACGCAAGTCCTAAATGTAGATCAAGGGAAGAAATGAGACAAAAATATTATACTTGATCATTTATTTCTCAAGGAAAATGATCCAATATCACATATTTGTGTGAATGGCAAAAGTATGTGAACCTCCAGGCTTAATTTGAAGGTGAAATTAGAGTCGGGTATTTTCAATCAATGGGATGATGATGAGTGGGCACCCTGTTTGATTTAAAGAACAAGGATCTATCAAAGTCAAGAACAGGGATCAAGCAACGTTTCAAGTTTTTAAGTTGTTTATTTGTCATATGCAGGTTAACAGTACATTGAAATGCTTAGGATGAGAAGAACCGATTTAACTCGCTGAAAAAAATTAATCAATGAACTAACAAACCAGAAATACTAAAGCATGCAATAAGGGTACAAAAATAAAATACCAAAAAGTGAAAAAATAATTCTAATATTTACTAGGTCCTAAAGAGAGATAGTAAACAGCAACATGGTACTTTGTAGAATATAACGGTGCAAGCAGGATGAATTTGAATAAGACTGCTCTTCACAATATGTTTGTGGATGTGGATCGTGGCAGGAACAAAGGAGATTTCTGAGGGCGTCAGAAAAAGAGTTGCTGATGCTCATCAGGCTGGAAAATGTTACAAAACCATCTCTAAAGAGTTTGGACTCCACCAATTCAGAGTCAGACAGATTGTGTGTAAATGGAGGAAATTAGAGACTGTTGTTACCCTCCCCAGGTGCAAGGTGTGTAATAGTCTGCGAGGTCACAAAGGACGCCAGGGTAACTTCTAACAACTGAAGGCCTGAAAAGTGTTATGTTTAGAGAAAGGAAAACTCTGCATTCCTGCTTAAGAACCTTATCCCATATGTGAAACATAGTGGTGGTAGTGTCATGGTTTGGGCCTGTTTTGCAGGATGGCTTGCCATCATTGATGGAACAATGAATTCTGAATTATATCAGATAATTCTAAAGGAAAATGTTACATCTGTCCATGAACTGAATCTCAAGAGAAGCTGGGTCATGCAGCGAGACAATGACTCTCAGAACACAAGTTGTTCTACCAAAGAATGGTTCAAGAAGAATAAAGTTCATGTTTTGGAATGACCAAGTCAAAGTCCTGACTTAATCCTATTGAAATGTTGTGGAAGGACCTGAAGTGAGCTGTTGTGAGGAAACCACCAACATCCAGAGGTGAAGCCGTTCTGTAGAGAGCATGTTGACTGCTCTGGTCAGAATGTCTCACCTTTGGCTTGAACTAACCCTCGTTTGAAAGGACCCAGGTTGTTTTGGAACATCCAAGACCAGACACTCGCATGCTAAGACCAGAGACATCAGCTTTAAGTATTTGTTGCATCCTGCTGAGAACAAAACGGAACAGTCTTTAGTTAAAAATCTGGCTGTGAAGGGATTTTTAACTCGTCTGTCCACCTGAATGTGGAGCACTTTAATAAAAAATGTTTCACGTTTTGCAACTTGGCTGGACAAAACTTAATTAACAGAGCTTTCAGAAACAGAAAGGTTGGGCTCAAACTGCAGCTGCATTAATATTCAGTGAGCGTTGTAGTCAGGATTTCAATTAAACTAAAAGTGATTTATCTAATATCTAATGTTTTGTTTTACAGGTGTCCTTTCCAAGGAGACAACTCAAATACCAGAGCAGAACAAGTTGCCCCTCCATTCTTTTACTGATGAACAGACTTTTTATAAATAGAAAAACTCCTTGATGTTTTACGTACAACAAATTTTTCAGTTTTTCTGTCTGAAGTGTGGATGAAGATCATGAGGAACTCTACATTTCTACCTCTGACCCTTCTCCTCATAGTCTCTACTTTACATAACCTTACATCTGCCATTTCAGCGTCAGAATATAACTACGGCGCCCACCCCCGCTTTGTGTGCACCCCACTCCCCACGGATGCAGACCCGTCCTGCTTCTCTACGGCAGGTCCTGGAGCCGGGTCAGCAGGGCATGGTGGACCAAGCCAGCAAACCGCTCCGCCCAGCAGCTGGCTGGGAGTGAGCGAAGAGGCCAAAACCACCATCCTCCACCTCAGGGAGAGTCTGGTCCAACAGAAGGAGATCATCTTGAACCAGAGGGAGACCATCAGAGAGCTGACGGCCAAGCTCACCCTGTGCGAGGGCGTCGGACGGGGTGTGTCGTTCCATGACGAGCACCACAGGATGACCTTACATCACAGAACCCATCAACACAACTACGCTGACAGCGAGCACTATGGCAACCAGCAGGGTCACCATAGAAATGGCAACCTCATACCGGACTCACCGCCCCATCCGTCTTCTGCGGGGGAGCAACGGTTGGATGGAGTGAAGGACAAACATGTGGCATCAGAGGACAGCACATCATCAGCGCAGCAGATGGAGAGGATGCTGCAGGCACTGAAGGAGAGGCTGAACAACCTGCAGGTGAGCAGAGAGAGGAACTTTGAACAAAAACAGAGTTTTAATGAAGGAAAGTGTTGAAGTATGAGTCGGCGAGACGGGCTTCTAGTGTGCCTTTGTGGGTTTGGACCTGCTAATGCTGTTGTCACAAAGCTGTGTGCTGTTGTCCAAAACGCAATATGTCCTCTGAGTACGTCAGACAAAAGAACAATGAATTACTTAATCTCACAAAGCCATTTACTCCCTTGGCAAGAGAGTCGCTCTGATGGCCACGAGAGCAGCTCAGACGTAGAGATGTTTCTTCACACGGTCACAGCGTGATAACCAGTCAGGTTTATATGTTCTGTTGGGTACAGATACAATACGGTAAGATTTGAACCTGAATTTAATGTCCTCTTTATTCAGATTCCAGGCATCGTGGTGAGGATGGAAAGAAGTGAAGGAGAGGGGGTATTTAAGATCACGAGTAATTACGGTGATCACCCATGACAGACTGGTAATCAGGCATGCACCTGGACAAAGCCTGGATTACCTGAGTGGAAAGGAAAACAGACACAGGAAGACACAATAAATATGAAGGGGACAGAGCAGCAGCAGCATGACGGGCAGCTGGCTTTCAGAATACACAACTACTAATTCACGTTACAACTGCTGCTCACAAACCAGCTCAACACAAAGCCTTGCTTTAGTCCGATTTGTGTCAGGAAAATAGTGCCGTGCTGACTTCATCCGTGTGTTTTATTTGAATTTCTCCCATCAGAGGAGGAACACGTCCTCCACATACTCCAGCTCGCTGAAGGAGCTGCTGCAGAGGAAGATCAGCACGCTGGAGGAGCAGCTGCACCGCCACACCGCCGCCCTCAGCAGCCCGGACCACCACGACACCACCCTCAGCCTGGACCGCCATGACAGCGGGTCCTCTCGGGGAGACAAAGGAGCCAAGACGGGCTACAACAAAGACGACCGCAACGACAAAGTTCGAGTTGGTGGTGGCAAAAATTCAGAAAGCTATAGAGATGAAGATGATCAGGATGCTGATGGTGACCGTGACGATGATGAGGATGATAGTGATGAGAGTGATGATGAGGATGATGATGATGATGACGACGACGATAGCGATGATGACGATGGCGATGATGAGAGGGAAGACGAAGATGACGATGATGATGAGAGGGAAGACGATGATGACGATGATGATGAGGAGAGGGAAGATGATGATGATGATGATGATGAAGACCGCAGTAATAATGAAGCAGAGCGACACAGTTACCTTCCACACACGTACAGAACTGGTTTCCACTCAAATAAACTGGAAACGATGCTCCACCAGCTGCACCTCAAAGGTACCCTTCATCACGACCTTGACAAAAATAAAAATAAAAATAAATCACAGCTGTGACCCGTTCACAGACCAGGTGAAAAACGCAAACCTCAAATAACACTTCTTGTAGATACAATTATTTATAATATCTGTAGGCAAAAATAAATCCAGTCAGATGGTGCTTCAGATTTCAGCAATGAACACCAAGCCTAAAATTTTACTCCACAAACAACTAAACTATTATAAATAAATAATTAGTCATGTTGTGCATCTTTCTTAACAGGATCCAACAGGAAGAAGTTCCAGAACCTCGATGCCTTCCAGATCAGCTTCCCGATGAGAACCGACTACATGTACGGACGGATGAAGAAGACTCTGATGCAGGAGATCTTCTCTCTGACTTTGTGTCTTTGGTTGAAGGCGGGCCTGGCGGGGCCCGGACTGGGAACACCTTTCTCTTACTCCGCACCAGGACAGGCCAACGAACTGGTGCTCATAGAGTGGGGGGACAACCCCATGGAGCTCCTGATCGATGACAAGGTAGGAAACGTGTGACGTCACATCATCACAGGAGCCAATCAGAATCCTGATATTTACCGTCTCTGGAGAGAGTTTGAGTAATAAAAATAAAAGCAACAAATTTTAATAAATAAACGCAAAACAAATATTACATTTTCTTCATCATATTTTTTTAATTGACAGCAAAAATAAATACTCCAGTTATAATTAACACCATTTAAAAATATATTTTTAACCTTTTTTAACCGTTCACAATTGGGACATTGAGCTGAATGCAATATCTGATGTGATAAATATAATTTGTGATTTTTAGCAGCAGCGCGTCTTTAGCTAAAACTGAATTTGAATCAAGCAAGAGAATGCTTCGAAAGACTGGTCATGACCCACATCAAAGCTCCCATTGATTCTTGAGGTATGCATACTGGTGAGGGTCCTCACTGATGTCAATCAACAGAAAACGCCATCTTCTCTGTGGTCCACACTGCTCTCACCCACCTGGAGCAGAAGGACTCCTACATCCATATGCTCTTTGTGGACTTCACGTCTGCCTTCAACACCATGATTCCCCAGACCCTGATGGACAAACTACTCACACTAGGACTAAGCTCCTCCCTATGCAACTGGGTCCTGGATTTCCTAACCAACAGGCCGCAGTCTGTGAGGATCCACATCTTCTCCTCCTCCACCATAACCCTCAGCACTGGCTCCCCTCAGGGCTGTGTGTTGAGCCCCCTCCTATCTGCTCACATATGACAGCACACCTACCCATCCAGGCTGTCACATGGTAAAGTTTGCAGATGATACAGCAGTGGTTGGATGCATCACAAACAATGATGAGTCCAGCTACAGGCAGGAGGTGGAACACCTGGAGAGCTGGTGCAGGAAGAACAACCTTCACATCAATGTGAAGAAGATGAAGGAGATGGTTGGATTTCAGAAGGGGCAAACACACCTACCCCCCTCTACACATAGGAGGATCTGCAGTGGAAGTGGTTTATAGCTACAAGTACTTGGGTGTGCACCTGAGTAACACCCTCATTTGGAGCAACAACACTTCCAATCTAATCAAGAAGGCACATCAGTGACTTTACTTCCTCAAGCGGCTGAGGCGAGCTGAACTAGGGTGCTCAGCCCTCACCTCCTTCTACAGGTGTGCAGTGGAGAGCATCCTGTGCTCCAGCATCATTTTTTTTTCATTTAGCCTTTATTTATCCAGGTTAGTCTCATTGAGCCACGAGAACTCATTTTCAAGAGAGACCTCAACATGTGGCATGGGAGCTGCTCTGCTGGAGAAAGGAAAGCTTTACAGAGAGTGGTGAAGGCTGAACAGAGGCCTATTGGAGTCAGTCTCCCCACCATCACAGACATCTACATCTCCAGATGCAGGAAGAGGGCCACCTGCATCATGAAAGACCCCACTCATCCAGCGCACACACACTTTTGCCCCACTCCCTTCAGGCAGGAATTTAAGGAGCATTAAGTGTAGAACCACCAGACAGAGGAACAGCTTATACCCTGAAGCTGTTAGACTCATGAATCCGTAACCAGAAAAATCACTGAAATGTCACTTTAATTGGTGATATGTCACATTATCTGTGCTGCTGATTTCTTACCCATAAACTGCTATAGTCACTGCTCACAACAGCCTCATGTTCAGGCTGCTGTTTAATACACCTTATTATATTGTATTATTATTGTTTAGTATATATCTTAGATCCTTGTATACTATTTCTTTTTTTTTTTGTACTTTCTATTTTTGCTATTTTTGGGTGTAACTGAGACCTTGAGTACACAGTTTTGTTTCACCTCGTGTAAAACATGTGATGTGATCGTCAGGGCATTAACAATTAAATTAGTAGATAAATACCCCTTACTTGAAATTTAAAATCTTCTAGTTTTTCATTAGATTTGATGGAGAAAAAAAAAAAAAAAGCTAAACTTTGGAAAAACTTTGCTTTATGTCAAATTTCTTTGTTGTTGTTGTTGTTGTTGTTGTTGTTGTTGTTGTTGTTGTTGTTGTTGTTGTTGTTTTTTTATTTTTTTTAATAAAATACAACAAATAAAATGTCAGTTTTGTTGGGAACATCTGTGTTTACAATTGTTGCACCTGATGAGTGACTCTTCACATCGTTACTTTATAATTTCCATCACTTTGTTTTAATTTCACCACAAGTTTGGATGCAGATGTAATTTAGTCTGTCACACCAACAGTAGCGTCTCCATTTTACTTAGGATTTAGAGCTTTTCAATAAAAACGAAACGCAAACATGCTTCCCTGCTGGAGTTATAATACCATGTAAAAAATGAGGCACTTGACAGTTAGTTTTTTGTTTACGCTTGCTGTTAACCTCTCAGATTAAATGAAATCATTTAATCTGCAGGCGGCGACTTTGCCCTTGTCTCTGAATGATGGGAAGTGGCATCACGTCTGTGTGACGTGGACGACGAGGGACGGACAGTGGGAGGCCTACCAGGATGGAGTCCAGAGAGGCTCTGGGATGAACCTCTCACCCTGGAGCTCCATCAAACCTGGAGGAGTCTTCATCCTGGGACAGGAACAGGTAACATAACTTTTTTTAATCCATTAACTTTTGTACCGGAGAAAAGGTGGAAGGAAAAGCCCCCATCACAATCCAAAGCATGAAACTCTTACTGTGTCTCCACCGTGCAGGACACTCTGGGAGGCCGTTTTGATACCGCTCAGTCATATGTTGGCGAGATGTCAGACCTGAACATGTGGTCCCACGTCCTGAGCTCCAGTGACATCTACAGCCTGGCCTCCTGCAGCAGCCACCTCCGAGGAGACATCATCACCTGGTCCGAGACAGAGGTGGAGCTACATGGAGGTGTTGCCAGACACCCGTTTAATCTTTGCCACTGAAGGGTCTCACCCTGAAGAGAAGAAGAAAAAGAAAAAACACTTAGAGATATCAAAAGACTGAAAAAACAGCAAAGATTTTAAAGAATCTGAGTGGATGCCTTCCTTTAATCTGACTTTTCTAAGTAACAACGATAAAATGGTAGATTTGTATTCTGATAAATCTGTATTAACAGATAATCTGCAGGATCCTAGAGGGTTAAAGGCCATTCTCTATTGTAACTATGAGTTAGTGTTTGATTTGAAATGAACAAGTGCTGATTGTGACATATTGTCATATTGTTTATAAGGTGTAAAGGGATGCTTCTTTTTGTCTCCATTTAGCTTTGAATTGGTTAATACTTATGAGATGTCAGTATCTTACCTGCAGCAGACAGCAGTTAGAGATATTTCAGTTTAGAAATTCAGGAAGACATGCTTATGAGTCAAGCTATAGCTGCTAATCTGATCAGACTTTTTCACAAACACAAATCTAAATCACCATAAATCCAACTTCTTAGCCCATTTTTTTATGGCCTATCCACTGTTTTTTGCAGTTGTTTACATTATTATTTATTCTCCACTATTATCTATATTCAACCAAACAACGTCCACGTCATTATCAATCAATCAACCTTTATTTATACAGGTAAATCCCATTGAGCCTCGAGGACTCATTTACAAGAGAGACCTGATTTCAACAAAGAAAGATGACAACAATGGACAACAGCAACAACAATAAGCAATTATAAAAAACTCATACTACAGTTTTTTTTTTTGTTTTTTTTTTTTTAATTCATTTATGTCTACTGAAATGAACAGAAGCTGATCTGTGTGTTTCCCAGTTGATAAGTTTAATCCCAAAATAATGACTATGAAAGTAAAAACAAAGCAGGTTTTTGACATATTGGCAAATTAAAATAAAATCTGTATCCAAAGAACAAACAGTTGGTAAAAAAAAAAAGAAAACAACTTCAAGCGGACACAACTAATCAGGCTATTTCATTAGCATGCAGTCAGTGTAGCGACACTGACACAGTTCGGTTAAGAGACTACGTGAAAAACGGTGAAATTAAACAAATTTTTAACACAATTAGATGCACAGTAATGAGTTTTAAAGTACTTTATAGTTTATTGAAACTAATGGGGAACATTTTAAATTTGAGGTGTTTAAAATGGTGTGGATTTGATTTTTGCTCGACTCTCTGTTGATTTCTCCCTGATTTACCAAACAACCGCTGCTCCAGACAGAAGTTGAAATTTTAATCTAGAAATGATGCTACTCTTAATTTAACCATGTTCCCATTGCAGCTTGGAAAACCTGTGTCATTGTTGTGCTCAGTATCTGTGGCTAACATTTACTAGCGAAACAATACAGTAATGTCGTACTTCGTATGTTATGCATTCTAACGCTGAAGCAGCAGATTTTCTAAGAGAGGTTCTGGGAAGTGTGTGTGACTGATTTATTAATGAGATACAAACTGGCAGAAGGGAAATAAGGAGTTTGTTAGCTACTTTTCATGTGCAAGGCAGCCATCTTGGATTTTGAGGTTGGCGAGGGTCAGGAATCTCCAATTTTACAATTCTGACTTCAGGGCTCATTCCTGTTCATATAAAATTCTGGTTTCCAAATACACATGACAAGATTGTTCAGACTGCTTCATGTAAAGCACTGACTACTCATAATTACCTCACAAAACCAAATCTAAATAGAAATCCTGTTAGCAGGTTTTACACAGTTTCAGATATTGGTCTTAATTTTTTTTTTTTTTAATGTACCGTAATTGTGTTTTCAGAGACAAGTTTTCATTTTGGATTCTCTTTTTAAAGGTTTCCATGAAACATACAGCTAATGTACCAAAGAAACTGTAGAGTTTAAATAAATTAACGCTGATAAATTGTTGTGTTTTACAAATTTGTCTGGCTTTATTTAATTATTACACTTTTATTTCAGTTCTTTCAAAAAACTTTTTTTTAAAACATTTTAACAAGATCAGATCCTTTGGACAGGTTCTTCAACTTCACATATGGGGCGGGGGCTGGAGGTGGTGGGGGCAACATATAGGCAGAAACATGGGTGTGCTATGTATGGGTCCCCAGTTTCTCCTATTGTTGCCAGCCATGGAAAAAAAAAAAAAGCCTTGGCATCATTTTCAGGGACACCACCGAGTCACTGGTTCAGGTATGTTGATGACACCTGGGTTAAAATTAAATCTCAAGAAGTCCAACATTTCACTGATCACATCAACTCTGTGGATAAATATATAAAGTTCACAGGAAAAGATGTAAGATGGCAGGTTGGCTTTCTTGGATTGTGAGGTCTCTGATGGAGGATATGTGCAAACACATGTGTATGTGGCACTATGAACATGTGAAAATAGTTGCCCCCATTTTATTTGTGTAAAGTCATTAAAAATGTTGGTTATGTTTGTTTTGTTATCTAAAAAAGTTAAGTTGGGTCCTCTGGATGGGTTCAACAAAATAAAATAAATACAGAAACGTTTCATCTTTCATCCAAAAGACTTCTTCAGTCTGAAGAGCTGTACTAAGCTCAGTCTTATAAATAGCACCTTCTCATAGTGGATCAACAAGTGGCTTTTAAACACCAAAATATATTACAGCAAAGACTGGTTCATCCCAAAGATCCAGTCCCCCTGCACAAACAGAGTAATACCGTGTATGCTGTTCAGTGTCAGGAGGGCTGTGATCAGTCTTATATCGGGAAACTAAACAGCCACTGGCCAAAAGGATGGCCCAGCACAGAAGATCAACATCATCAGGCCAGGACTCTGTGGTCTACACTCATCTCCAGGCCAGCGGTCACTCTTTCAGGGATGAAGATGTTCACATCCTGGATAGAGAGGAATGGTGGAGTGAGAGAGGAGTGAAGAAGACCATCTTTGTGAAATGAAACTGCATGTCCATCATTAAACAGAGGTGGAGGCCTCCGTGTTCAACTGAATACAGCTCACAGACTGAAAAAGTCTTTTGGATGAAAGACGAAACGTTTCTACAATTTTTATTTTTATATTTTTGCACCCATCAAGAGGACCTGACTTAACTGTTTTAGATTTTTCTATCTGGGTTATTGAGCATGCACCAGGATATTTATTTTTGCTATAAAATTGTGTAATATAGGTTTAGCTGACACCGGCAGAAGACAAGGTCAGTACGTAAACACATGCTCCGAGCACGAGCTGATCTGTATTTTTCTGTTTTGAAGGTAAACTGGGCTCTAACTAATATATAAGCAATAAACAACAGTATAGATCATAAGTGTCATAGAGTGTAACATATGTTGAGTTAGAGACTGAATTCATAAGTTGTAAGGTTGTAGTCGGTAACAGAGAACTTTTAAAAATCTTTATTCAAGTAAAAGACAAGTATACAACAAACAAATAAATGGAGTATACAGAAGAACACAACACTTATATGAACAAACAACCAGGGGTGTTGACAGGCACTGTTTCAAATGTGGGCGAGAGGACCACTACTCTTGGGGCTGCCGAGCACAATGACTCGACGGGAAACAGGGAGGGACCAGACCAGAGATGGGACCAGCAGTAGTCCAAAGCCATGAGTCTCAAAACAAAAACAGCCAAGCACGCCACCCCTTATGAGAAGATGCTATTTATAAGACTGAGTTTATTGCAGCTCCTCAGACTGATGAAGTCTTTTGGATGAAAGAGGAAACGTTTCGACAAAGAGGAATCCATCCAGAGGACCTGACTCAACCTTGATAGACTTATCCACCTGGATTATTGAGCATCGGGACATTTAAACATGTAGTTCAAGTTTTATATACTCTCACGTTTGTTCACTGACATTCCTCACTTTTCTATTTAGATTGTAGCTTCTGACATTTTGTGATATAAAGTTGTTTCATTGTGTCTTCTGCCCTTCAACGTTTATCGCACTGTTTATGGTGAATTTCAATCAAAATTTAAAGACGTGTTCATGTTTTTTTTTAATTGTTGTAATAAAGTATGAAAATCAACAGCTTTGTTTTTCATTCAGTCCCGAATGTGCTGCGTTTACTTATTTTAATTAACGGTGAACATCACCATGACTGAGGCGATCACTATCAAGTGATTTCTGCAGCTCTCTCAGGGACCTCTGCAGATATTTTGGTCCACTCCTCGAGAGCAAACTGCTCCAGCTGTTTCAACTTTGAAGGGTTCCTTCTTCAGACTGCATGTTTCATCCACAAGATTTAGATCAGGGCTCAGGATGGTCCAGTGTTTGGTTCTGAGCCACTCTTGGGTGTATTTACTGTGTTTTGGGTCATATCCCGAGATTTGGTGTCCTCTTTGGTTGTCTTCCATTATGTCCACTTCAGCTGAAACAGCAATGGTGTGACCTGATTCTGATGGACCTTGACTTGACCATTCATATTATCCGTTTCTTCAGTTTGTCATAAATATTCCTCTAATGAACCATGTTTAGGGAGGTTCAGGGAGCCTCGTGGATCTTAAACTTGTGAATAATCTGTGCAGCTGAAGTCACCGGACCATCAAGTACTCAGAGATGGTGTTATAGCAGACGTGGGCAACATATGACTTGACGGCCCCTGAACAATCACTATCCGGCCCCAATATCCTTAATTGAAAAGAAAACTTTTAAATACGTTGATTAAAACCTGCATTTCAAAATGCATGAAATTCAAGGAAATCTTAAATTAAGCATCTTGGACAAATACACAGCAGGGCCAAAAAAAGGCTAAAACCATCTTGTGAGTACCGTACTTATTTTTTTATGTTTTAATTTTTGTTTTGCATAATTAAGCTAACAAAGATATTTTCAGATAGAGTCTTATATCCTAAATATTATTGGGGATACATTTTTATCAAGCATGCTAGCTATGCTACGTGAAAAAGCCTAAAAAAAAAAGCCTCCTAGGATATGTTTTAAAGAAAGTGTATTTTCTAATTCTCTATGAGGCCCTTTGATTTCTTTCAATATCTTGATTTGGCCCTCTGGGAAAAAACGTTGCCAACATGTTGCTCAGTCTTTCTTACGAAGCTCCTGAGTCAACTCCATCCTGAGCTTGTTGTGGTCCATGTTGTGTTACACACCATGACCCCAAACAGCACAGTGACTACCCTTCACTATTTAAATAGGAAAACTGATTACAAGATAGAAGACGTCTGCGCTGCAAATTGCAGGGCACGCCTTAGTTTAACATGTCCCTATGGTCAAATCATTTTTTATTTTTTCTACAGGTACCATTTTTTGTTGACGCCCGTTTCATCATCATTATTATTTAATTTATCAGAGCTTCTTTGTCATTCACATCCACATGTGGATGTGGTGGAGCGAAATTTTATAATTCTGTTGAGACAAAATTCTAAAGCATTTATCACTTTTCATTAGTTGGTTTTCAGTTTTTAAAACTTGCGTTAGTTTCAGTTAATTCAGACCTTTGTGGGTTTTATCCTCAACAAATGATCTAATTACATCAATATGCAGTGCAGGTGCTACTTTAATACACAAACACAAAATTCACGTAGTGAGGGTTAAAAATAAAGAAATCAAGTTAAGACTATTAAATTAATATCAAATATTAAAATAACGTGTATCTAAAGGTTCAGTGCACATTTATCTAAATTAAAACAGATTCACTTTACAATAAAACAAAACAAAAAAAGGGGAAGGAAAAGAGACGATTTGTTGTTGTACCTTTTATTTTTACACAGTAGTTTACTGGTACCATTGTAGTGTGGTTTTCCTTTCCTTTTGCTACAGATGAGGCATCCATCTTCATCTCACATTAAACTAAAATAAATAAATTCAAACTAAGTACAGTTTCTGAAAGATGTGGCTCTGCAGTGAAACCCGTCTGAAACAATAAATCTCTTTCACCGTCAGTGCTCATTTTACGTGGAATAGTTATTTTTCATATTTTTGGCAACTTTGCACAAAAAAATAAAATAAAATAAAGCCTACAGTCACTGTGATGCACAGAAACACAAAAAATGATGGTTTAAATTTAGGCTAAAAGGCAAGACTTGCTGCCAATCGCTTTGCTGTGGCTTTACAACAAGCTGTAAAAAATTCCAGAAACAATTTCATTCAGCTTAATTTCACATGATCTGAACCGGCCACGCACAAAGGTTCTAATAAACCCAGAACTCGTCAGGGAGAAACGGTTGCTTGTGAAACATGAACTGTTGCAGTACGAGCGATTAACAGCAGGGGGGAGAAATAGATCATCTAAATCAGTCAGAGTTGAGAGCGTCTCTCCCTCAAAACTAAACAAGATAAAGTGCAGTAAACAACAGTTTATCCAACAATCTAACACAACTCATCAAACTAGTAGTTTATGAACTGGATGTGAAGCAGATCAATCCCTGGACTCAAACGGACACATTTCTGAGTGTTTCAACTAGAATAATTTAAAGTTTAATTAGCGTTCTTTGTTTACTCCTCTTGTTGGGAGCGCGACAGTTTACTTTGTCAAGTGGGAATCGCTCGCTGAAACCATAGATGAGCAAAAGGTAAATTAAAATACTAAACTTATCGTTACAAAAGCAACCAGCAGGACCAACTTCAACGTTAAACGCAGTCTTTGAGCCAACGAGGAGCACGAACACTTTTCAAGTCAGTGCACTGGCATGGTCAGCGCCGCCGCCCGACACCTCCGTTCATCAACGTGCAGTAAAACAGTAGCTCGTACAAAAAAAAAAAGGTAAATAATAAAATAATTTCTGTGTTTCATAAACAAATATGCTAACGTCTATTTACAAAAAAAGTGTACATCGTAATGAGCTGCCTTGGTCATTTCATGAAACACAAACGGACAGATCCGGCTCGGAAGAAGTTCTTACAGATGAGATGTTGGGCGAACGTTTTGTGGACACGAGTTCGACGAGGATGACGTGACGTGCTTCTCAGTCTAGATGAAGAATTTGTTTACATGCCTTCAGGTTACAATGCTCTGCTACATGCTCAAACATGTTCAGAAACATGCTAAAGTACATGTGTAGAACTGAAACAAGCAAATATCTGCAGGAAGGGGCTCATTACGTCACGACTCCAATAAAAATCCCGTGTAAATATTTTCTTCAAGGCATTTCAGTTCTTAAACTTAAAGCCATACGAGAACTATAGGAACAAATGCGCATCTCAATCTGAACCAGTTTGCCATTCGTCTCCACTAATAAACATCTTAGTGTCACATTGTGTCTTATGAAGGCAAAAATGAAGACGATTCATTTTAAATACTTTGAAAAACTTCATGAAGCTAAAAGCTGCTTGCTACCTTGCGTGAAACTATATTCACATTAATGCAGATAAATCCATGAAAAACTGTTTCAAGGCTTTGTGATCCACACTAACTTTTCAGGAAGTCTTGTGAAAGTGGGCCAAGTGCTAAACAGCCCCAAGAAGAAGCTAAATACTGTCTCTGTTAGAAGCTTAAAACGAGCAGCTGAACATTCGGCCATTTTTACAGATTCTAAACACCTTAAATTAAAAAAATAGTGCGCCAGCAGAAAAACTGTCACCTGAAAAAAAAATCATTTTCAATCTTTCAAGAGTGTATTTGGAGTAAGTGGACAAAAAAAAAAAAAAAAAAAAGAGCCAAAAACAGCAACAGTGGTGTCCAAAAACTGATCAGCACTAGTGTGAATAAAGCCCGAAACACACCACAGTCCACTAAAACAAGACCGAAGGAGACAGAGAAGCTTTTTGTGCTCTGGTGTGTCGAGTTGTGTAACAGCAGCAGAATGCGTGACAGCAACAGAAGGTCGCAGCTTTTCAAAAGTCTGGTGGGCGAGTTAAACAGGAGGCCTCAGAACAGGAAGAGGAGGCGTCTGAGGAGTTAACTAAAGTAGTGAGGAGCAGGGATGAGGCAGAGGAGGGGGAGGAATGATGGAAGGAATCTAGATCTAGGGTTGCTCCTCTTTCTTCTTCAGTGATATACGTTTCTTCCTGGCAGCAAGCATTTCATAGAAGGGATCCACACTAACCGCAGACCTGAAACACACAAAAAAGTTTAAAGCATAAAATAAAAAACAGAACACATCAGACATGTAGAAAGAAAGACAGCCTCAACCAACACTTTACACGTCTGCATCAGTTTTCTATCAGTAACTTTTGTTTACGAGCGTCACGATGGAAAAACAGATGCATTTCAAACCACATCCACGTAAATATGGATTTTAAGAAACAGCCGTCCTCCCTTCTTACTTGATGCTGTGGATCCACTCATCCTTCTCCTCCGGGGTGGGCGCAGAGATACGGTACACCATGTGGTTTCCTTCCACCACTCGCCCATCAGCCTCCGTCTTACACGCCTTGATGAGCTGGCCGCGGTTGTTCGGGATGTACAGCTCAAAGCAGTTCTGTTTGAGAAGGTTTGGATAAACTCTCACATCGTGCACGCGGTCACAAAATCTACAAATAACATCTGAACCCAGTGTTCAGGAAACACAACTTACAGGCTTCCTTGGGTCTTCCACTTCACGAATACTAAGGTTTTCTAAAGGGATGATGCCTCGTGGCTCCTTATCCTGTTAGTAAAAAACATTTTATGTGAACACCAATACACAATCAGGCTCACATTTGAATTGGGAAAGAAGCTAGGCAAAAAAAACAACAAAAAAAAACATATTTTGCACATTTTAGAGCTTTTCCAAAAAAAAAAAAAACATGGAACTGAAAACGTAATTACCAAGGGTTACCAAGAGTAGTACTCAGAATAAAACAACGTTAGTAAGTAAATAACAAGTTAATAAACAGTGACAAGCTGAACGGTGATGTAAAACAAAAAAATGTAGGGAAAGACGAGAAGTTCAAACTAACTGGGATTGTTGCTTCAAATGAAACTGCTTGTAAACACAGATGCAATGGAGAAAGTTTTGAGAGCCTCTATGAAAACCAGAACAGTCTATCGTTAAAAGATTTACAAGCGATTAAAGGACATGCAAGCAACAAAATGTCCAAAACAGTGAAAGAACTTTAAGAATCCTTTAAGATCCTGGAGATCTCAGCAGCGAATGCATGAACCCAGTCAATCAGAAACTGCAGCTTCAACCTAAGTTAAGAGTCAGAGGCTTAGTTTCCACTTTGTCTGTTAGATATACATATAATTTTGTACTAATACTTTTTAATGTCTACTGCCAGCTTCGTATTTTCTGAGGTGGTAATTACTATAAAACATTTTGGAACCACTGGTTGTATTTTTGTCAGTGCCGTCAGTGTAAATTACAGTCCTGTTTGATCATCTCTTATCCTACAAAAATCTTTACTCTCTAGACTTTTTGTTTTAAACGGTTGTGTGAAATGTCCGTAAAGAGAAGCTCTTCTTTAAATTGCTTTTGGTCAAGTATTTAATAATCAATCAAACCAGACATGCCCCACAATGTGAGCGGCGTCACAGATCGAGAGGAGCCATGCTTCACTCAAGGGTGCTGATGTGGAGCGCGGTGTATAATATGTTTTGGACATATTCTATTCTGAACCTCACAGATGTTTGATCGCACTGACCATCTATCCTTACATCACACCACTGAACTCATTTATTCTGAACTAGATGAAAATCCACAAATTACTCATCATTTTCTGAACTTTTTTTTGTACTACTAGTGCTTAGCGTATTTTTAGTTTAACATTTTTCTTGGTTCATATCTTAGATCTTATTACTGTTTTTCTTTACAATTTATACTTTTGTTGGATGTAACTGGGACCCTGTGTACACAATTTTGTTCCACCACATGTGATACATGTGGTGTGTATGACAAATAAAGAAACTTTGACTTTGATCAATAAAGTATAAAACTAGCAACAGGAAATAAACTTGTGATGAAAATGTTCAGTGAGAAGAGATGGAGAGAGTAGCTTTTCTTCACTTCTGTACACAGACTTCTTACTGCAACCACAACCCTGTTGGTGCGGAGAGTCCTAAAAACATTCTTGATGCACTTCAGTTAGTGTAATTTCTACAAAAACTAAAGCTCTGGGAAGTTTGTTTTTTTTCCTACCATTTATTAAGTTCCTCTTGCTGGGGACACCCCAGAAGTGTTAAAACAAATATGGAAAATAACAAGAGAACTTCAACTATTTGAATGAATCTTATGGTTTATTTTTTTAAACAGAGAGTTATTTTAGTAATTTGGACACATTTTTTTATGTTCATTCCCATTGAGAAAATAAATATAAGCTGGAAAGCTCAACAATGTTCAGTCAGGTCATCTGGACAGTTCCTTTTTTTTTTTTTGGATGAAGCACAGAAAAAAAAAGAAACTGTCCAGATGACCTGACTGAACATTGTTGGATTTTATACCTGGATTATTGAACATGGACTTTGGTGTTTTGAACCAGTTTGACATGACTGTTGATGAAGGAGAGGGCGTGCCCCAGAGGCCATCTTAACACCAACTTAACTGTTTCTTTCCCCACTTTGGAGTAATCTGTTGGGGGAATCTCAGTTTTGTTTGGCGTTTCCTCAGACTGATGAAACCTTCTGGATGGAGGGCAAAACGTCTCAGCACAAAAAAGAAACCGTCCAGATGAACTGACTGAACATTGTTTTATATATACCTGGATTATTGAGCATGGACATTGGTGTAAGCTGAAAAGTTGTCACTACCCTAATTAAACCTATTTAATACAAATGAAGATAAAGAACAAAATACTTGTTAGGATATTCCGAGGACTGTTTCATACATAACAGACTTACTGTTGTGTATTCAAAGTAATAAAGGCAGTTGTCTGTGAGAATGAACCATCGGCGTTTCCAGGTTTTCACTCTTCCTCCTGAAAATAAATAAATAAATTCAAAACAGGACCGTAACTGACCAAAGCTTAAAGCCAAGACGACTGTCGTTTCAAAAATAACCACTGCTACTACTAAATAAATGACAAATTGCTTTTAAACGCTCTTTCAGTACATACCTCCTGATAAAACAAGCAGCGGCAGTAGAGGGTGGAAATTGCAGGGAGGAAGCAGAGACAAAAAGAAAGAGAGGGTTTAGAGGGAGACAGAGAGGACAGAGATCGTTAGTGACACTGATCACAGGTCCCGTCATGCAGAAGAAAACAATCAAGAGTGTTGAGACTGCCACAGCGCAAAGCAGCAAGTGTGTCCTTCACCATCAAGCTGAGGTAATGATTCAACACCACTGCAGTGTGACGTGATCGTTCAAGTGGAGGCAAAGAGGCAGCAAACCTCAGAGACAGGAGGACAAGATCATCAAAGCACAAAGACTTAGAGATGAACAGAGATCAGTGCAGAACGGGTCAGTTCTGTTTACACCCCCGACATACGCAGCCTGCTTTTATAAATTCAAAGATTGTATTAAATCAGATACAGCAGACGTAAAGGCCCAAAGATCTCCATGCCAGGATCTTACCGAGTTTAAGGAGCCAGCCCTCTCTGTCCGGGTTGAAGAAGGTGTGTGTTAGGTCGTTACCGTCGTCTTCTGGGATCTTAAAAGGCTCATTTTTAATGCTTTCATAAAGGTTCTGAAAAATCAAACGGGATGAATACTTGAATGAGCACCCCAGATGTTTTCAGGGATCTATGGTCACAAACGGTGAGAGGTGGAACGTACTCTGAGCAGCTCCTCGGGCAGGTCCCCCCCATCGTTGATGCCCCGGTTCATTGAGATGAAACGGTCCAATCCAGGTTTGTCCCTTACGTTCGGATTATGGAGGCTGGTGTTCAGCATAATTATAGCAAATGAAAGCACGTAACAAGTATCTGAACAGGAGGGAAACGGACAAAAATAGGAAACAGTTTAACTTCACACCACAGTTTATCCAACAAGGACTTCACTAAGAGTATTTTTCTTTAGATTATAGGCTGTAAACAGATTATGCTTCATATTGTTGCAACATCGAGCAGATTATTGTAGCATAAAGGCTGCAACAGAATGTGAGGGGCAGCTGACTGTGTGAGAATGCTTGTTTTTGACTGAAAGTGCTGAAGAACCTACGAAAACTTTTCACCTCTTTGTTTTTAATCTTTATTGATGTCATAAATCTGTCGTGGTCAACATAAATGGGCATTTTTGATGTAAACAAACAAAAAGCAATAACTCTCTTCAATGATAAAACGAAAACTGAGCTCTACAAAAGTACTTTCAAATAAATAAAATATGTTATGTAAAATGTGATTGTGCTATATAAATAAACTGAATTGCATAGATATTCCCACCCCCCCTTTAAAGTGACCGTCCTAATACAACACAGGATGAGCGAGTGGTATAACAGAACTCAGCCGAAGGCAGTGTATGTATTTCAGTACAATACAAAAACACGTGTCTGAAATGTCTATTCACAAGTAAATCTGTATTCCTGGCAACCATCACATCATGAGGACTTTTAAAGATCTAACCAACTCAGAGAAAAGATGATCAAAAAGCCCAATAAACGTTCCAGGAGTTCTGTTAAATTCATCACCAAAACATGGAAGGAATAAGGAACATGTGTAACTCTACCAAGAGCAAGCTGTACTCACTAACTGTTACTTCCTTTCTATGTGGAAGTTTCTTTCTAGTAACATCTCCAGCTGCTGGTTGGCTGCCTTCCTCTACTGGTGGCTCCCAAGAAGGATTTTACAGCCAACCTGTCCAAAGATGAACGGCTGGAGGAGACTTGGACAGCACTGTCCATCCAACAGCTGCTGCCAGTGAGGAGGCCAGAGGAATGAGAGGGAGATTTTAAAAGCCAGCCCTATCCTTCAGTCAGGGCTGCTGTGCTTCATGTGCAGTACGCCACTGTATGTTTGCTGTTGTGTGACGTCGTCTTGATCTTGGTTCTGTGATGTTGTGACTTTCATGGCCAAGAGACATTATTGCTGTGTCTGCGTACAAGACAATAGACAGCCTTGTACTCAGACAGTAAAAATAAACTACTTATTTTTTTAAACAATCCTTTGGGTTTTGTCATTTATGTTGCGTCCACCATGAGCTAGGGCATAATGCTGCACAGGAAGGAGAATAATGAGAAAAGCCACCACCTGTGAGCACTCTGAGGGAGTTTACAAGCTTCAGCAGGTGAGATAGGAGAAACTGAGCATACGACAACTGTTGCACAGGTTCTTCACCAGTCTACGCTTTATGGAAAAGTAGCAAAGAGAAAGCCACTGTTGAAGAAGACTGAGTAAATCTCAACTGGAGTTTGCCAAATGGCACATGGACGACTACCCGGTCAAGTGAATGAGAGCTCTGATGAGACCAAATCGGAGCTTTTTGGCCGTCAGACAAAACACCGTGTTCGGCAGAAACTAAATACTGCCCATCACCGCAAACCAAACTCATCACCCCCACTGTGAAGCACGGTGGTGGCAACATCATGCTATGGAGATGCTTCCTGGCAACTGAATCTGTAAGGCTTGCAAAGACAGAGGGTAAAATGAAAGCTACAAAATAGAGAAGAATCCTAGAAGATACTCTGATGCTGTCTGCAAAAGGACTATGAATTGAGAAAATATTTATTTTACAGCAAGACAATGATCTGCAAACTTACAGCAAAAACTCAACAGAAAGGTTTTACAAACAAGAAGTTGAATGTTCTGGAGTGGACGAGTCCAAGTACAGACCTAAATCCAAAAATAAAATTGTAGCTGCACTTGGAAAGGGTCGTTCATATCCGATCCTCACTCAGTCCGACAGAACTTGAACAGTTTGGGTTTTTTTTAAAAAGAAAAGAATATTTACCGGTAAATTTTAGTCCTGATGTGAAAGACGGACTGAGACTTAACCACAGACCAAGTGCTGTAACGGCAGCCAAAAGGTACTTGAAGAAAACATTGATGTAAAAGTGAATATTTACACAGTCACTTGTTTTATATTAGTTTTATTTAACTGGCAGTATTTTCAAGAAATTAGTTATCTGTCACTTAGAGATTTTCTTCATCCAATGCCAATTTATATTGAGCACGACTGATTTATGGCAGTTAAAAAAAGCATAAAACGTCCAAGAGGGTGAATACTTTTTATAGGAACTGTAGATGGCAGCATCATGGAAACAGACCCGTGTGTATCTGTTCCTACAGGACAAGTCTTTTGAAAGTGAGCTGCTGCTAAATAATGCAACAGTGTCTGTAAGAAAGGAGATTAAAAGAATTACAAAATGGTTTTATGTGCTTTTCGTCCTTTTCAAAGAGAGAGCACCTGTTAAGTATTTTATTTATTTATTTAATTTTGTAGCAGTCAACAAAATTGCAAAATAAAAGTAGAATAAAAAAATGAACTAAATAACTAACTAAAGTGATATCACAATTGAATAATTTTCAAGTCTTATAGTTCAACGTTGTGGCATTCCAGTGTGGATTTTCTTGCACTTCATTGGTGCCAGAACGTCCGACATGTACAAAAATAATGTTTGTGTGTGACATAAAAAGAACTGTAAAAATATTTAAATTTGGACAATGGTGCCATTGGATGGAGAAATGCCAGTTTGCAAGGCTTTCCACACCACATCCATGTAATGTTTGAATTAAGACAGGAGTAGGCAGCGCACGTGAGGCTTTCACAAAGAGACGATGTCTGTGGGTGATGAAGACTCCTGGTGTTTAATTATGAGAGTAATTCTAGACGTTTCTCCACCAAATAATAAGCTCTGCTCTGAACTTAAACTTTTTTTTAATGAACCAAATGGTGGGTGAACTATAAAAACCTATAAAACATTGAATCAATCTTCTAGTGGTGAAAGTAATACCTGAAAGATCTTTATTTTCTAAATAACTTTATAAAAATTCTGCACCTTAAGGGGAATTTTAAACTCGAATCACCACAGAGAAAACAAAAGAAAATCTTGGATCAGTGACATGAGCGTTCGCTGTACTTAAAAAAAAAAAAGACTTCCAGACAGCTGTCTTTCAATTTTGTTTTCTTTTTCCGATTAAAATAGAAACAAAAGCTACTCAAACACTATCTAATAGAAATGTTTTATCCTTATCTGCCTGACCTCACATTCATCCATTATTACAAACACTTCTTACTATTACAAGTAAAAAATAAATAAATAAAATGAAAGCAAAAAACTTGTGCAATTTTAATAACACTTTAATAAAAAATAAAAAAAAACACACTTTATCCTACTGTTTCAATGTCAGCTCTACATCAACATGTAAAGTTTGTAGTGTGCTTACGCTACCAAACTATATTTTCTTGAAACAAATAATAAATAAACTGGCTGAAAGTAGCTGTGAGTAATTTCTGAGCGGAGACAAACAGTTTGTCTGTGAGAGCACACCTTTTGTAAGATTACTCTTCCCACTTTCACTTTGATTTCACAGAACCCACAGAAAGGAGCGTCACATTAGGGCAAATAAAATTTGATTTAAAGAAACAGTGTGGGCACAAATTCCAGTCATATATATTTTGTGCTTGTATCAGAATGCGTTGTGAGTAAATTTTGCACCTTATAAAACCAAAATGTTTGTGCATCCATAGACAAGAATACATGCGTGTGAAAAAAAGATGTTTATTTGTAAAAAGTCATTACACACGTTCCAAATTTAAATTTTTTTGTGAAGGTCTGTTACAGAGACAAAGCAAAAAACTACTTGTAAATCTCTGTGCTCAAGTTCCCTAACTTGCGCTGTGGTGCCAGCATTTCTGTGGCTCAGGTAGGAATTACTTTAAGGTTAGTGCAACAAAAACAAAATCATTGTCCTGATGTATAATTTTGAAAATCATGTTAAGTAGCATGGAGATGGAGCCATCCTCCATCTACTCTTCCATTACCTGCAGAACAGTAAAGTGCCACCCGACAGCCGTTCTCCGGTTAGATTGTTAAATTTGTGATTTACATGACACTGACCAATCAGCTGAGAGGAAGAAACATACCGTCATAATTTGTACCTGCAAGTTGAAACTCACACGCAAGTGTGGGAACTTGAGCGCAGAGATTTATACGTAGTTTGTTTGTTTTGTATCCGTACACAGACCTCAACAAAAACTATTTTTGTAACTTGTGTAATTATCTTTTTTTTTTACAAATACTATTTTTTTTTTTTACACACAAATTCTGTTCTATGCATACGCAGATATATAATTCTCAAATATTTTGGTTTACAAGCTACAAAATTTATTCACAACAACAAATTCAAGTCAAATTTATTTATAAAGCACATTTAAACAGCAGCTGTTACCAAAGTGAACACAAACTCAAATGATATGACTGGAATTTGTGCACGTCTAATGATGCCTGAGGGTCTAAATAATTTTTGAAACAAACTGCAATTGATTAAAAAGTTATTCTGGTATCACTGATCCGCACCAGGAAAAAACGTGACTGTCTTTCTGCTTACCGGTGCTCTGGAAGACGCCGGGGTTGCAGTGACAGTACCTCTGGGCGAAGGCCTCCATCATTCTGTCAATCTTCTGCGCTTCACCAGGCAAACGAAAACTCCACAGGAACTGCCTTTAATATATATTTTAAAAAACAAACAAACAAACAAACAAAAAACAACACAGGACAAGGTTTGGGTCAAGTCTAAAAAATGAAACCCAGAAAGGCAGGTAGAGTTACACGGTCAGTTTTGTCCTGATGCATAATTATTTCCTCCCAAACCTGAGGGAGAACAGGATTTTCCACTGGTGAGCGTTTGGAAACTACCTGGATCCATCTGAACAGACCTCAGTTAAATAACAGAAGCAGGTGAAGCTTACCTGAGGGCCTGGACCAGGTTCAGATCTGTGAACTCGTGAAGGTCAACAAAAGCTTGAAGCACTTTGATGTTGAAGTCATCTCTGCAGAAAAATTGAATAGTTAAAAACGACTGGACAAGAGTATTATGAACCATTTTAACATTTTTCACCTTTCTCCCAGGTAATCTCCTATAGCAGTCTTGTTGAGGCCTTCTCCTTTGTACAAGAACTGTGCAATGTCTTCTGATGTGTGTCTGAGCAGCTCGTTCTCCACCAGGAACATAATACCCTGCAGAAAGCAGCCGCAAATAAGACAAATATGACAAGAAAGTTTCTTGTAGAAACAGAACATTGTACTGTACACACAACAAAAAAAACTCCCTTACCTTTTTTGGGTCCATGTTGAATTTCTTTCGTCCCATTGCCACATGCCTACTTTTCTGTAAAGTTTTACTAGAGAAAAGACAAAAAAGTCATTATTAGAACTCCTTACATCAAAACACAATTCTATTTTTAAAAAGTTTGGTGAAAGTTTAAACATCATTAAAATCTCTTCAAAACAAGAAACCAAATGTTGTTGTCACATAATGCCAACAAAATAAACAATCATGTTGAATTTTTCCACCTATGGTAAATGTTCTTACATTTTGGGATTCTGTCTAACACTTTTAAAAGTGTACAAACAAATTACAATAAAAAAACTAATTGTGTAGATTTAGAAAATAGTGTTAAAGTTAATGTTCAGGAAGAGAATGCTCATTGGACATTTATGGATAAATAAAAAGCAGACAAGTCAAATATATTTTGAGTTAAAGCTGACAAACATCAAATAAGATAAATAATGTGTCATCTAATTCAAAATGGTAATTTTATCTGTTTAATAACAAAATCAAGGGCACCCTAAAATGAAGCAATATACGCTTTAAGAATAAAATAATTTGCCTTAAATTGACTTACATTTAAGCTATAGTTTTTATAATTTTCCACAATGTAATAAATAAATCTACAATGGAGTTATTACTCAAATGATGTCTTAATTTATTTTTGAGGAAAAAAAAAAAAAGCTTTAATTTTTTTTAAAAACAAAATGTAGAACAAGGCCGTAACTCCAGAAAGAAAGGTGAAAGCCCAAAATGTCAAAAGTATGTTCAGCCTGTCAACATGATAATAGTTCCCACAAAATTTCATAAATTTCTTTAAAATGGGAAAGAAGAGTTGAGCTGACCAAAAAAATAAATAAAACGAATAGATGCAGGCAACTCATACATAATCTAATACGATTCTTCAGGTGTATAAATATTATTTAGTATAAACAATTTTATTTTTATTACCTGCCCTCTGTGCTGCTCTCCAGTCCCTCTACTTCTAGAATAGCCTCTCTTAACTCCTCCCTGAGCCTCTGGATCTCCTGCAGCAGGATGCCCTTCCTCCTGCGGATGTCTTCCAGCTCAGAGCGCTCCTCTGGGCTCAGGTCTACAGGGACTGCAGGGGAATAGAAAATAGAAAGAGAATGGCTGCAACTCTGCTGCAAATCTAATAAAATAAAAAAGGTCAGCTGTGTCCACACAACCCAAGCCTTAAGAAGACCTCACTGGTGATATAAAAATGGGAATTGTTTATCAGACTCATACCTCTTACAGTGAAATGGCTGTAATATTTCAAATTGATTTTTTATTTTTTTTAAACACACCCCAGATTTTCCTGATTCATGCTCAATATTACAAGCAGATAAAACTGACAAGGGTGGTTGAGTCAGTTTATTTGGAACTGGACAATTTGAGAATATGTACTGAATGGTAAAATGTTGATTAGTTAAAAGTTAACCACAAAATTACTCCTGCAGACCAGAGGTTGTGTCAAGCAGTAAATCATCTCCTGAAACTTTAGTTGACAAGAGAAGCTGGATTAATTACTGGGAACTGCTTCATAAGCACTACCCTCCATTCAAGTTCTGTTTTTAACATTACTGTTTGCTTAGACTTACAAATCTAAATAAAAAGAAAGAACACATAAAATACTTTATTAGAACCACAGTTTCAACCTGCAGTCCCAGACTCTGAAAACACAATTTTCAGTTTAATTTTCATTATTTGATCACAGACAGATTAAACTAACAATTGCAAGCCAGTTTAAATGTCATTTAGTTTGCTTAAACTAATTATTGCAAAGCTATTTTTTTATTTCCTCAGCAAGACTTTTAGAACAGTAAACAGAAAAACAATGAGAAATAAAAGCTTACATCAGCAGAAAATATTTAAAATTAAATCTGTAGCTTTTCTAAAGTTCTTGATGTTGCAATTTTTGATTTTTTTTTTAAACTGTGTTACAACTGAGGGCATTTTATGGAGATTTTATTGTTTAAAATGTTGGCTTGCTTGGTTAGTCTATCAAATAATTAAATTAAACAAAAATGCTTAAGTGTAAACATTGTTAGAATACTTCAGAATGGGGTTAAGCTACAGGCACATAGCAGGCCTTTATTTACCAATTAATAGAAAAAAGTATATAAACTGTTGTTTATTCCACCAAAAGCAACACAAGACATTTATCAGCCCACGAAAATGAACTTAAAATAACTGAACTTCAAATTCATCAACAGGTTCAACTAATATATACACGTTTATGTATAAATTAGTGTAAAGGAAGTCAAAATAAAACCCAAAAACTCTCAGATATGCCTTAAACTCATAATACAAGTCATTTTATATTAAGCTAGAAACACATTTCTTGGACAATCATGTTGTAATAAACACCACATTATGGTCATATAAGGGAACTAATAGTGACTTGTGTTTTGTTTGGGCATTCAGAAATACATGTAATTTACTGCAGTCAAATTACAATAAAAACAGGAGTGCAAAGCAGCACAATTCAACAGCACTACCACCTGCAGCTGGATCAGCCACAGCATCTTATGCCTCATGATACACCACTTTTATTTAATCGACAAAAACAATACCTGCCACGCTCACTGTCTGGGTTGGCACACAATGCATCATCTACTTTTATTAAATTCTGACTACGGGATGCTTTAGTGAACTTTTGAGCTTGTGTAACTGAACTTCCGGTTGGTAATGTCCACCGAGGTTAGCTGTAAAGTTAGCCCAGTCAAACACCGACAACAAATCAATAGTTAATGTGCTAAAATAAGACATTAGTGGCTTATTACAAACTATACACATACTATAGCGTGTATATTCATATATACATTTATTGAAAAAGACGTAATTCATTCATGCGTTTAAAACGAGGGAATAAATGTATGAAACGTGAACTAAAAGCTAACTCAAAAAGCTACAGCAGTAGCAACATTAGCTTCGCCAGCAGCCACTCAAAGTCCACTTACTGTAGTCCAGGTCATCCATTTTAGGCGCTTTACTTTTAGGCATAAATAGTTCAGAGTCGACTGTCATTAAATGTCAGAAAATTAGGGATATATTAGAAAATATATCCTCGAAATTAAAGGGAAAAATAAACAAACCCCCCTCCCACAGTTGTGTCGAAACGATGGGCCGTAGACAAAGAAGGTGGAGACACCGGAAGTGGGGTCTGACTTAAGACCGGTCTTCTTCCGGTCAGTTCAAAATTCATGTACTGTATACACATTTTAGTTCAATACTTCAAAGTAAAGTAGAACAGTGTGTACAGTGTGTACAGTGTGTGTGTGTCTATATATGTATGTATATATATATA